ATATTGTGTTATCATAAAAATCCAATGAGTATACTCCAAGTGATTTTTAATTCTCTGTTGACATTGCTCAATAGTTTCATAGATCTTTGCTGACAGAAATATGAGAATCTATATTTAAACATGATGCACTTCTAGGTACATATTGCAGATAATTTTAAAATTAATCAAATACAATGTTTCACCCATAATAGAATTAATGGAAACCGCATTTTGATAACTATTGATTAATTCCCATACTAGATTTCTAAGCTTGAGACATAGAACAAAAAGAAATGGTAATTGCATCTCAAGATTAATCAAAGGGCTTTCTTTAGTACTATTACCACATATTTCTACTATTTAGGCACAATCCACAAGACACGTCTTTTGAGAAGCATATGCGAATGAATATTAGACAATTGCACTGTTATATGCAATTTCCATTTATTTTAGAACACAGATTATCCTGAAAGGTTGTCCACATTAGCAATACATCTCACATTCAGATTATACTATTATTCTGAAGAAGATTCCCTAGTTTCTCAGAGAATCTGCTTATCAAAAAACTGTATCGAGACCAACTCACCAGAGAACAGTCCATCTATAACAACAATGTATGCATGCAATTTACTCTGTCAATAAATACTGCTTAGCTTTCTGCCTAGCCAAGGAAAATGTGGGGGAAAGTATTAGTAAACATTGTTACTTTCAAATTTAAATATTATACAGATTTACCTGACAAAACTGATTTTTTTTCTTCCTATAGTATGTACTATATAATAATCTATACTTGAAACAAAATTATATCCAATATGGGTAACTCATCATGTTCCTCATTTTCATTGACAGAATCTTTATCTGAAAAGTGTTTGGGCAGTGGCAGATAAACCTGAGAAAGTCCACTTATCCAGACCACTTAACAACCTACTGCAAACTTATGGGGTCCCTCAAATCTTGTTTCTGTGTCTCATGATATTGACATATATATGAATCTTCTGAGAGAGTTCAGTTTTGAGTTCAGTGCCATCAGAATGTTGATCTTGCCCAACTCTGTTACACTGTTACTCCATCACAAGCCAAGGAAGTTGTTCGGGTTCTCAAAATGTGCCTGTTTTGAGATTTGATCCTCAGCTTTCGTCAGTAAAGCTTGTGTATCAGCTATTCTTATTCCTTAAGATATCAGATCTGGCCACCTTGATGTATGTATTAGTTAAATAACACATTCTATGTGGGGCTGACTTTAAAAAGTATTCATAAACATAATAAAGTACAAAGAACCGCAGCCAAATTCATAAATGAACATGAGTACAGGGAATACTCTTCCTCCATTTCTGGGCACAATTCAAAGTGTTGGTTTTTATCTATGAAGCCCTATACAGCTCACATCCAAGTTACTTCAAAGCAGTGATTCTCAACCTATGGGTCCCCAGATGCTTTGGTCTTCAACTTCCAGAAATCATAACAGCTGGTAAACTGGCTGGAATTTCTGGGAGTTGTAGGCTAACACACCTGGGGACCCACAGGTTGAGGACCACTGCTTTAAAGAACCATACCCCCCCCCCCCACCTTACAAACCAGCTTGTACTTTGAAATCTGCTGAGGAGGCCCTTATCTCTGTTCCATTATCTAGTACAAACATGGAGGAGAGGCTTCTCTCTGGCTATTCTCAAGATCTGAAACTCCTCCACCCTTGGAGAAGTTAGATTGACACTCAGGCCCCTTCCACACAGCTGAATAAAATCCCACATTATCTGCTCCGAACTGGAATATATGGCAGTGTGGACTCAGATAATCCAGTTCAAACCAGATATTGTGGGATTTTCTGTCTTGATATTCTGAGATATAAGGCTGGGCCCTCACTCTCCTGTTTTTTCAGACAACAGTTTAAACAGAAGAAGAAAAGATCAATCAGTAGTACTTTTTAATACATATTGGTGCTATCATACAGTTACATGCTTAGCTAAGCTATTAATCGATTAAGAAAATAAAAGTACATTTTGTCAATAATAGCAACTTCTGATTCTTAAAAAAAAATTCCATAAAGCAACTCATAAGCCATAAGACAACAGTGGTGAATCAAAAGATGCTGGCAGTTTTGACACAAGATTGGAATGCCATGTATTGTGGCATTTCAAAAGAATCCAAGAAAACAGCAGGTTGATTATTTCGATTCCAGGTCTATTCCTACTCAGCTACCTAAACATTAAAATGAAATTCCAACGGTCTATGGAGTTTTGACATATTTCAGTAAACTGCTCAGATATCATTCAGCTATTCAGTAGACCACAATGTTTACAGTTTCCCTTCAAAGGTTTTTCTGTTCATAACAAGTCTAAAACTGAACTCTTATTTTATAAAGTTTCTAACCTTGTTTTTACTGCATCATGCTGATTAAATGTCTTTTGACATACCCTGGCACAAATAGCACCTGGTTGCTGTGTTTCATTCAGTAAATGCATACATATTTAAATGTGAATAAGTCTCAATAGACCTTATATCTAAGTAAACATTTTATTTAATTCTACCTGGGAATAAAGAAAGAGCTTGCCCTATTTTAAAATTAGTAACTGAGAGTAGCAATTATAACAATCACGTTTTTTTAAAGGTATAAAAATGAAGAGAATTGAATGACAGATTATAAATGTCATTAACAATACATTCTGCATTGATGCAAAGATGCAAAAAAAAAGAGAGGACATCAATAATAAAATGCATATTTGCCACATAAAGCCAACATGGAAGTGACCAGGTGGATATTTTGTAGTTTGCCTTCAAATTGTCTCCAACCTAGGTTTTCTTGAGAAAGATTAATTTAGAGGGTGTTCGTCAAAGTCTAAAGTTGAGAGAGTGTGAATGCACAAGTTCACTCAATTTTGTTTTTTTAGTTCCAGCCTAACACTCAAACCATTTCACCATGTGGCAAATTGCTGGGGTTAAGAAAGATGGAATCCTAAGTATCCATTAAAAAGTTCCCATTGACTGAATGAGACTCTTCCAATGAAATTACAATTGGATTCAGACCAAAGGTGTAGAGGTCATGGCTTGGCTAATGTCATCCTTATATAGCTTAGGGTGACTAATTTTAGGGCATGGATTTAAGGGAAATTTAGTAGTGACAAATTTTTGCATATTTTTAGTAGTGTGGCATTAATCCAGAAATAGTTGATAGAATGGATAGCATTAAACAGGATAATTGATTTAAATTGTTTATAATATATGGGTTACAATATGTAATAAAATATAGAATAAAAATATACAAATCTGTAAATCTGCTACCAGAATGTTCCATACAATAGAAGATTCTGAAAGCTGAAATGCAAAAAATTATATTTTCTGAACTTGGGGTGAGAGGAGGTAATAGCAATTCTATTCTCCCCATGGGAAGTGCAAGTGGGTGAAGGTAGCCTTCCTGTGGCCACATGACTCATTTCTCCAGTAAATCCTCATTCACCGGTCCTTCAGGACTCATTGCTTTCAGCCCCAGAGTAATGAGAGAAGAAGCCAGACAGAGACTGGAAGAAAGGGTGTCAATATTGTAAACTGACTTAGAACCAAAATCCAAACAAACTCACTGAAATGAGTCAGATCGCCAGTGTCAACAGTCCAGGGTCAGAAATGTGAATTACAAGAGCCCTTTGAAACCAGTAAAGTATCCAGAAAGTCCACTCCAGGGTCATAAATGCATATTTCCAATAAACTAAGATGCCAGAGCCAAAAGTCAGATTGCCAGAAGTAGAAGACAGAAGTCCTTGAATAACAAACTGAGAAGCAGTAGGATCAGGTTACAGGACAAGAGCAAACAAACAAAGAAGTCTGACTGCTGAGGCTTTATATCTTAGGATATGAGCTGGTGCTTGATTAATGATTGTTTATCACAGGTATCCTCACACTGTCACCTATTTGGGCCTTCAACTCACAGAATTCCTGACAATTGAACAAGCTCATTAGGGCTTCTGGGAGTTGGAGGCTATAACGTATGACACAGTCAAGCTGTCCCCCGAAAAGACTGGAGTGACTACTATGAGCACGCTGTTTTAAATCACACCGCTGAACACCAGTATAACGTAAAGATCATTCACAGATTCCGGCGCTGCCACCAGTATAACGTTGCCAGGACCCAGGGGAATACTTCATTAATACTTCCCCTAAAACACACACACACGTTCCTTCAGCTGCTATATTGCCCACAGCTGGCCACCACTTTAAAGAATCAGTGAAAAGGATCTTATTTATTAAGGCTCCAACTGGACCCCAACACAATCCTGTCACATAGTACTTCGATGTGTGTTGAGGAAAGGTGAATGTGCATTGGTAGAGTTGCTGCCACCACTCAAAATGTATTTGAGAAATTATCTTGTTGTTATGCCTGAGGTAAATCTTATTGTACACCAGCCCTCCTTTTAACTCCCTTTAAAATGTCTGAGGTAAAAAGATGTTAAAAATTACTAGAACAGATCTTATGGAATTAATCAATGCTGAAGCTCTATGCAACGTTGAACTAGAACAAAGTTTATTTATATACTGGAACAAACAACTGCATTCTTCTTTGAGTTACACAAGTGTATTTGGTTATCAAAGCACAATCTTCTTAAATGGTTTCTGAGTCTTAACAAGCTTGATGGTTTYCTTAACTGGGTTTCTTTTCTTTAACGTGAGCAAGTCCCTCTGACAAATCAATCATGTCTGTCCCCAGAGTATCTAGTCTCCCTAGAATACCCTGTCCCTTAAAGAGTAAAAACAACTTGTGTTCTAACACTCACACAAGTTCACGGGTGGCTATCTTAACCCTCCAAGCCAATCTCTATAGACACACCTGCCTTCAAACACTCTCTCTCAGGAAAACTTCTGCTCACTYGAAATCCACCCACTACCCTTCAGATCAAAAATCCAATCTCTCTCTCTCCCTCTGTCAGAAGCTGCCTGCCTTTTTACACTCACAGCTTCAGCTCCTCCCATCTCTCTTAGCCAATCMTGGGATAGCTGAGCTCCTCCCCTCTGCTGATCTGCCTCACTGTTCTACCTTCCTAACATGGAGGCCGACTTACTGACTTCTAGGCTTCGGCCTACAAAGGTACGAATCATGACAGAGGCCCAAACAGCTGAAGGGCCACAGTTTGAGGATGCCTGGTTTATCAGCTAATCTCTGAGACCTGTGATCTCCTGCCTGCTCTTTCCTCTGCTCTAGAGATGTGGGTATGTTTAACTCCTTTGTAGCTTGCTCAGATGTGCTTGCTTCAGCTTGCTCAGATGTGCTTGCTCAGATGTGCTTGCTCAGAATGCAGGGGAGTGTTTTCTTTTGCTCATCTTCAGCAGTGGCTGAGCTAGCCAAGGCAGGCTGCTAGTTGCTGCTGCCCTCCACCTTCTCTGCTTGTCCTTCTGGCAACTCCCCATCCTCACTATCTGAACTGACCACAACAGGTGGTGAGGAATCAATGGACTAATCCCAGAGCCAATTCTGTCCCCTGTTTGGGCCTTGAAGACAGGAGAACATGGTGGTGGTGGCAGTTATGTGAGATTTGGAGGTGGGAAAGATCTCCTCAGGTGCCAATCACATGGATGCTATAGCCTTTGCTGTAATGTAAAGTAATGTTAATAATGGGAAAAATAAAACATCAAAACAGGAACCAAGAGGATTCAAAAGAATTAGCTGTAATATGGGGGTTCCCAGGAAATATGGCAGTTGGTCACTCTAGCCCAGCTGAACCATCACCATACTTTTGCTACTGCTGTCACTATTGTCAGAAAGTTGGGTCTCAAAAGCATATAATTCTAACATCCTTATCCACATCACCAGGGAGAAGGAGGGTGCCCCTGCTGTTTCTGCAAGGAGTGCCCATGCCAGCCAGGAGGTCTCCCGGAGCTCTCCAGCTATCTGCAACAGTGATAGTCACACAGGTCCGATCCACTGAAAACACAATGGCAATAGTTTTCCATGTGAGCATTCAACTGGTCTCTATTGGACCAAGTAGGGTTGTCAACACAGTTCCCAAAGTGTGGGGCAGTTCTGGAATGTCACTTAAATTCCAGAGTATTCTCCAATTTTCCTTAATGCAGGATTTCATGTGGTTTATCCCATGTTAATGACTGGGCCTCCCTGGGCATCATGCAGACATCCAGGAGTGATTTCTCACAGAATGCCCACCACATAGAACATGCGGACAACCCCTAGGATTGCTTCTCAAGATTCAAAGAGAAACGTATACTAATAACATTCTCTACATCATCTGTTGAAGGTGCTGTTGCTTATTTTTTTTTATAGAGAGCCACCTTTTATTTGATGGCTGAGTGCAATGAAGGAAATTCTTTTGTGACTTAATAAAATTAAAATCCATAGTCTTTTGGAGAAGTCACACATCTTAAACATTGTGTCTTACAGCTCTGGTGAATGTTCACTAAAACCAAATGAAAATCAATGAGACCTCTTTAAGACATGTCAACAGAGATGAAATGCTGTGAATGTGTTTTTATTATTAAGGAGTATGTGGATTTCATTTAGCAAAGAACAAACTCTTCATAATCACTCCTGTCTTTCAGGTTAAGTATTTTCTGAAGCAGACTGTGGCAGTACGGGTAAGAAAATCTCTTTTTCTTTGAATTATAAGACAGGGCATGGTTTAGAAACTGAAACTGATAAATAAGGTTGGATTGTGTTTAAAAGTAATCACCATGTATGGACAAGGACACGAAGTAGTCAGGATAGGTTGACACACTTTCACTCCCTTCCACATACATGGAAAGATATATTATCTGACTTTTCATAAAGAACTATTTAAAATATAGTAAAGAATGCTAACATACAGTAATGCTATAGGTATGGACTCAATAACTGCTTAAGCAGAAAGTGAAATACTAGTAATAAGTCCCTGTAAAGTTTAAAGTAATTGAAATAAATATAGATCCTTATTCTCAAGTTCAAATCTCTGTATTTCTAACTTCTATCTCTATATCAAACATGTCAAAAGGATAGACTTATCTTGAAATTAATTATACATAAATGTAGGGGATGTTGGAGCTACAGTGATTATGCACTGTTTATCCTGCCCACCATGTGTGTTTTATCAATAGGAGCATGTTTGGAGAAAATGGTGGGATGAAGATGAAAGCAGACTTTTGTTCCATTTAATATATTTAATTGCATCTTCCTGAAATGAAATTTGTATGACCTACTGCCCAGAATATATATAGTGATAGTGATGAACTCAAAAGCCTTTCTTTAATCTTGACACATTTATTTCTTTGAAAACTTCTATAATTCATAAGATTGTATTGCTACTATCTGAAAAATGCTTTGCTTAAAAGAAACTAATTTATCATAAAGTGGCTGTTCATGCATAACTGTCTCCTTCCTAGATAAAATAAATTTCATCTTTCAACCAAAAAGTGAAAATCAACTTTAAAAGCACGCACACCTAGGCTCACTGAGGTGATTTAAAAATATCTCATCTGCCCCATTCAGTGTACATTAAAGAATGTTTCTTGTCAGAATTCAACAACAACAACAGCAAGGCTCAACCTTCAACTTATTGTACCAAGTTAATTAGGTGATCTTGATCTTGTTTTTGCAAAAAGAAAAGATAAGGCTACCTAACCTACCTATGAAATTAGTTTGCACTTTGCTACCAAATAGTTATGAAATCAGCTGGAAATCTTTTTCATTATTTTTCTCTCTTTAACAATTACTCCTGTTGATAATATTAAGACCCCCGGCTTAGAGCAATTTGATTCTATTAGCCAGATATTGTAAACTAAAACCCAACATTTGCTTAAGAACATTCACTTTGTAAGATATTTCTAAGTATTTCCATTTGAGTTTAACATGAATTAAGAATTTCCTTGGAAAATGTGCTGAAGGGTAGCCCACAAAGACCAGAAATGATTGATGGAAAGACAGGAAGATAGATGATGAAAGTTTCCAGTTATGCATCTGGCTAATGCCATATGGTTCTGCTTCATCAGGAAGTGAATGTAAATGTCATTATAAATACTAGTTTATTAGCAGGCTATTTTCTGAGGGATTTTCCCCCTAATTATTGGAGCATAAATAAATGCCATGACTTCAGTTATAATCATTTTTTGAAGTGGATATGGAGCACAAGTGTCATGAATTGCAGATCTATCTTACCACTGGGGACTGTCTATTTTAATACTTTCTTTTGCAGACAAACATGCCCTTGGTGTGTTTGTTACAGATTCAATGATGTTCTCTAATTGACAATTGAAGATCTGCACATGTTAGGCTTTCTGTCTCAATCCCCATGCCATATTTATGTCTCCTGTAAGCCATAAGCAGGCCAAGGACATTAAGGTCTTAGAGTTTCAACAGTTTATGAGAATCTTTTGATGTTGTGCTTGTCTTTATGCATACAACCTGTTCAAAAATTCCAGCAGCAGTCATGCCGAGAGGTGACCTATCCATCGGTGGTCTTTCAGTTTCAGAAGGAAAAAGTGTCCATCTGAAATTTAGCCAAATCATGTTTTACAAAAGTATACACTGGAAAAAAACATCACATTGGAGTGAGAATCTGTTGGCATGAATCTGTAATCTTCATTCAGACTTTGGACTAACAATATTAAGTGAAAGATAAGTTAGACACCTATTTACTAAGAAACATCAGGGCTTAATTACCTAATTCTGCACATAGTCAATAATATTCTTGTAAGTGCCAAATCCAGCAAGATCAAACAATTAATAACAGAAGATCATGCTTTATATATGGTTCTTTGGCTGATTCTTCATAATAGAAAGAGTCTGCATGATGTGATGGATTCTAATCCTCAGTCAATGATCTTGAACAAGCTATAATCTCTCAGCCTTAAAAGAAGACCGTGACAAACCTGTGAAAAAATATCCCCAATGAATTGTCTGATAAACCTGAAGGTAACAGGTACCACGAACAGGTAGTAGATATAAAGAGATCTATATTGACTGGGACACTAGAACTAATGTAAATCACAGATAACAATACTAATCTAGATGGACATCAGAACTGATATAAGACACCTTCCTATCATTATATTACAGTTATATGATTGCACAAATTAATCTTAAAGCTACTTAATACAGCCATTACTGATAGTAAGATATGGGGTGAATCTTTCTTCTTGGGCCAGCAGAGAACTTATAAAGTAAAAGCTTTTGACAAAAGCAGCACTGTGAAATCTGTTACTATATACTGGTAAAACATTATGTAGTGATATCGTAATAGGGTCCACAATTTGCATTCTGCTATGAAAGTGGCTTCAATTGTGATGGAAAATGTCACCATGATATTAATATAATTATTGATCAATTGGATATCTGATCAATAATTATATGATTGCAGAATGTGCTCTCAAATTTTGATCAGCCTTGGGTTGACACACTATCATTGCTATATCACCTTTAGAGAAAATGTGTATGGCAGCTGACAACATTCCCTCTTAGAGAAGGAAAAAAGAGATTGAACACTTAAAAGGGGCCATGTGGGATCATTGAATACTTGCCTTGAAACAATTTATCATTTTCCCTAGTTCTGGGTGAAATATGTCCTGCCGGTTTCTAAGTTACAGCTATAGGAGAGGTCATTGTTGTTGATATTCTCTGAGAGTCCAATAAAAGTATTAACAAGAATTCAAACTTTCAAGGAAGTAAAAGGAAAATAGGGTTCGTGGTGCATTTTAAATCAGACGTAGAGCACAAATGCCATATCATAAACCTCAAATTAAGAAAAGAATGCTGTGTCTTAGTTCCATCCTATTCGTGGGAATTTGTTCACATGAATCTCTAATTCTTACTTACTACATAGAAAAAATATCATTTGTAAATTTGGTTTAATCCAGTAAAAAAGGTTATTGCACCATTCCTCCTGTCTCATCTATCTTCTACTACCCAAATTGGTATTTCTCAAATACTGTCATGTTCTCATGCTAAGATCACTCGGGCCCCTTCCATATGATCCAGTTTTTGATCCCATATTATCTGCTTTAAATTGGTTTATATGATAGTGTAGATCCAGCCTCACTGGGAAATCTGCCAGAAGTAATCTTGCTCCCTTATACCTTTATATGGAAGACTGGTAGTAGAAAAGACATGCAGCAATACCATATGGCAAGTGTGGTCAGATTTCATAAACTGAGATATTGTTTCATTCTCAACCCTTATTTGTGAGTGGTTTTCGAAGAAGATGACCCCAATTGCTCACAGCTGTACAGACTAACAGGTCCAACGTTTTAAGGAAATGAATGTTGGAAGTACTTTATCCTCTCTACCATTTCTTGCTGTGGTGGCAGTAGAGGAAACAACATATAATCTTTGCTTTCTTACTTTGTGTATTCATTGCAAATAATTCCTTCCTCCTTCCGTTAAGCATTTTTGGCATGGTCATAGTGTAGCACCTGGTATCTAGAGGGCGCATTTGCAGTACATAGGGAATTTTTCTCTTTTGGGAATGAGTAGAGCAGTTACTCTGGCACTTATTATGAGTTAAACTTGTTGGTCTTAAACTGTGGCTTTTTCCTCTGCAGAGTAACATCAGGCCACTCAGATCTTCCTGGCCTACTTCTGAGCTATGGCCAAGTATCCCTTGCCCACTACAATAATTTATAAGAGAATTCTTCTCACCTCCTATAAGAAGAAGTAAGAAAGGGAGTAATTATCCTATTGACCAGAAACTGCAGGACAGTTATGGTACTTTAGAAGACAAATCACAGGCCTTCCATGAAGTACTAAAAATATCTGGCCTCTTCCTCTGAAAAAGAACCCAAACAACTCCAACACATGCTAATAAATGTTATTTTTTCTCATCGTGTATATAAAACCTGCACTTTAAATATATAAGTGTAAATAATAATACTCTTACACATTAATTTAATTAATGAAGACTTTAAGAGGAATATCTCAACTAGAAGAGAGGTTTAAAAGCATCTGAATGAAGCAGATTATTTAAAGAAAATGGAAAATATAGTGTTAGAGTTGACTGACTGAAGTGGCAAATATTGTTTTGGACACAGGTTCTCTCAGAATTAGTGCTTGGTTCTGAATCGCTCTCTTTTCTGAAGCTACCCTATCAAATGCTGCTTAAGATCCCATAACTACCATTTATAATGATTTCTCAAAGAGTATTCATGTGTCAGAGTGCTATTTTAAAGATAGAATGTGTCAAATTACACTACGTAACAATATTTGAAAATAAGTATTCCTGGTTTGAAAGTGTTATTTCTCATTTAATTTTGTGGTACTTACTTTGAAAGTAGTTGTTATACTCCAGAAACTTTATTTTTGTGGCTGCCACAAACTATGTCAAACTGGTTGAGACTATGAGATATTCTTGAAAAACTATAGCCAAATGTGTTGCAAGATGTACCACAAAAACAAATTTTCTGCAGTTTAATAAACATTTTCCATGTTTTTTAATGATGGAACCAATTAGCAAATGACATTTATAACCCAAGAACAAAAAATGTGTTACATACTGTTACTTACCACACATGACCTTACTGCCTGAGAATGTTAAAACCCCCTCCCTAAACTACAAACCACAGAAATCTGCAGGAGGAAGCTACAGTAGACACTCTATGTCTCTCATCCCATAACAAGAGAGAAGCAGGAAAAAGTGGCGGAGGGGGGGGGGGTGGATCTTATTTAGCATTGCCTTCCTGTTGTTTACAATTGCAGTCTCCCCCATCAAACATGTTAACTCCTATTGTTTTGACAGCAATCAGCAGCTCCATTTGTCTTCATAAAATACAATGGAAACATACAAGAACAGTTGCCATCACACCTTCAAGTATCCACCTTTCCCTGCTTTCAAGTGAATTGACAGGTCTGAAGTTTATTGCTACTCGACTCCAAAAACAACGATTTCTAGACACTTGAAAACCAAAAAAAATCTGGTTATTTTTTTGAAATAGTCTTCATTTGCCTTTCAGAATAGGACAATTGAGATGTGTTATAAAAGCCTGGTTAACAATCTTCAAACCATACTTGATCTGGTATTTGAAACACGTAGGGGTCATATCTTCCTGTGTTAACTTCTGTGCAGTTTGATCTACAGGAAAGGTAGCCCTCTGTGTTTTGTTCCTTTCAGCAGTGAGAAATGGAACTGCAAAATTATATTTTCTGGTTAATATCAGCCAGCATTTTGTGATTCTTACCTACTCTAACCAATTTAACCATTTTTAGAATTGATATTCAACTGCTTCAAAAAGATGAGCTTAGGAAAGCCTTTTAAAATAATGGAAAGTATATGAATCTAGTTCTTCTTAATTCTGAAATTTATGGATACTTTTTGATCCTGTGTTTTTATTATAAGTTGCTTATAGGGATTGTTATGGATAATGTGTTCCCGTGTTTCTAATATACTGTTATGTGGCTAAACTTTACACAGATTGATTTAAAGACTGCAGTGTATTTGTTTTGTTGTCTTATATCTATTGCACATGATTTCAGGTATCACTTACTGCCAAAAAATTACAGCATAAAGATTACAAAATATGTAAATAAAAACATGTATTGTTCTAGAGCTATGTTTTGATTATCAGTGTCTTTATATTCATATTTCCACATAATGAAGCATGGTTAATTCTAAAATGTGTTTATGTAAAGAATGTGTATAATATCTACTCATTAACCTGGAACCCCAATTATTAATTTATTAATTTATTTATTCACAGTTCTTTCAAATTGCAACAGAAAGATTCATTCCTAAAGATGATTGGCTTTATGAACTACTGCTAAAAAGCATGAAGCCACATGTGATGCACAAATATAGTGTGAAACAAAAAGACAGATACATAATAAAATGAAGCTAAAATGTATTCATTTATGTAGAAGGCACGACAAAGATTTTCCAAACAATCCTTTCCAATTTGTGTATTTCAGCCAAAACACCATCAGCAAACAGTCTTATATGATCAGTTGTTCTATAAGGCTCACAATAAGAAAATTTAATGGGTTGCTGGGTCACCCCCTGTAGAATAGCCATATTGTCTTTGTGAAAGTCTATATCTTTAACATTCAGAAAATGGTATTGCATTTTAAGTGCTAAAACAAACAGATGGCTTGTGTAAAATATTCAGAAAACAAATACAGACTGACCAGTCTTTCATTACTAGTGATAGACCAATTCTCCAAAGTTGGTTTGAATAATGACTGTGAATTAGGAATTGAAGTGCAGAATGCCTTGCCTTATACTATATTGCTATATATTGTTGCTTTCAAAAACCTTTTAAGAGACTTAAAAAAAAACTCCAACACATAATGCAGGTTATATTAGAAGGGCAAGATAACTATTTAAAAAATAATTTTTTAAATATAAATTCACCTGCAATTGTCTCTATATATCTCCAGCCCCTACACTTGAATACTACTTTGGCAGATGCAGTGGCCATGTGAAGTTTTTCATCATTCAGTTTTCTCTCTTGTCTCTTTCTTGGCTATTTTTGTATACCAGATGCCAGGAATCATGGAAAATTAAATTTTAATTTAGCACAAAAAATGAGGTGATAGTACCTGAATATACTCCAACAAAGTACATTTTCTTTATCACCACTGTTATTCATAAAGATGGGCATGTTAAGGCAAGTGAAGCAATTTCTCTGTTGGCTTTCCTTCTACACCTGTGTTTCTCAAACTCTGCTCCTCCAAGTGTTTTGGACTTCTGCTTCCAGAAATCCAAGCCAGCTTACCAGCTGTTAGGAATTGTGGGAGTTGAAGTCAAAAACACCTGAGGGATCAGAACCTGAGAAACACTGTTCTACACCATGGTCATCAAACAAGAAATATGTGAGAGGCCATGAAAGCTGAAATGATGCCTGCACTAGTCTACTTCAGCAAATGTTCAAAAAGGTCTGCATCCCAGAGTGGCAATCACAACTTATATGGGTAACATAGAGGGTTCTGTAAACTTCTGTCCAGCTACAGAAATCCTTATTTTCTATGTAAATCTCATGTTGAGAACCTAGATCAACTCTTTTCCTAACTCCCTTCGCTTCCCATCCTGTTATTAGGACACCTGATGCAACTATCAGAACCAGGATTCCTGTTCCCACCAGAGATCCCTGTCAGGAAGTGATGGAAATATCAATGTGCTGTGCCCCAATCAATGGGAAAACATAATTCTATCCTCCTCAGTAAAACAGACTGGGGGACATTTATGACTGCGGTTCTAGTGAATGCACCATGAATATAAATCAGTTACAGATGCATAATTCTAGGTTACAGATTTGTAACTGTGATAGTGTATTCTTCCTTGGTGTGTGTCAGTTCTACAGAAGTGGTTCAAAACAAGGTGGGAAATCACTTTGGCATGCAATATGCAAAATTAATCTGAGTCAATGACAGAGCTTTGACTATCTGAAACACTGGGGTACAGTGGCTTCATGTTAGTGGCGCAATGGATCCACTTCAGTTTTTCATTTCTAGTTAGTACATGCTATACAAACTGTTTAACTCTGCTCTGAGAAAATTACAGAACTTTTGGATTACGTTTAAAATTCTGACTAAAGCCCAGATCAGATTAACTTCCCATACCTGCTGCCCTTGATCTCAAACATTAAAGAGCTTTCATCTTATGAGATCACTGCTCAGAGGGCTGTTGTCCTACTTTTGAAGGTTCTTTTATGTCATTACTGTTGATTGTTTTGGAATGAAATATCACAAAGTTTAATTTTCAGATGCTTTGCATTTATTGGGAACAATATGTCTTGTTTATCTACAGGTACAATGTGTATAACAATGTTTATAAGTTATCAAGTAACACAGAGTGGTTTTTTGTACATTTTTATTGCTCTGGTCTACAATATTTTCTTATATAAACACTTAAATTTTTAGAATCACAGACGCCTTAAAGGGCCAGACTCAAAAGTGACTTCAATACAGAGTTTATTAAAACAAAGGAAAAAGGACACAGGGGCACTTAAATGCAGTGCCACTGGCCAAAAACTCAAGAAACAACCAGTCCTGGTTCAAAAAGGTTTACAGAAATATAATCCGGATTAGTTGGATAAAAGAAAAGAATCAAACAAAGCATTCTGAGGTCAAACAAAAGGCACAGTACACAACTGGTTAACAAAGGAGGAGCCGCAAGAAGAGAAGAGTCGTCAGCTGAAGTCCAGGGTCGAAGCGGGAGAAATCCAAAACAGCGCAGGTCCAGAATCCGTAGAAGCAGCGTCTTTAGCCAAGCCGATCCAGGTCCAGGAAGGGAGAAGTCCACACTCACGAGAAGCCAATCCGGGTCAATAACAAGCAAACGATCAAGAGATTCAAACTGCAGATCCCAAACCAACACCAAACACGAAACTGGCAGCAGCAAGTCACACAGCACCCAAAACATAAACATACTCTAATACCTTGCCTTCTGCAAGGACCCCTCATCCCTGAATCCACTTTTATTTACAACTCATCATCAGAAGATGAACTGATCACCGCCCCATCATTATCCCCTGCAGCTGCTTCCAGCTCTTCACGTGAGCCACCTTGTCTTCCCCTCCAAGTCCTCCATCTCCTGTCAAGACTTAGATCCCCCCAAGACTCAGTTGGATCCCCTGATTGCCAGTCTTCACCCCCAGAGAAGCCCATAAAGGTATCACTAGTTGTTGGCTCCTCACAAATAGCTTGCATTTCTCTTACATTTTATTATTTATTTATTTATTTATTTATTTACAGCTTTTATATTCCGCCCTTCTCACCCCGCAGGGGACTCAGGGCGGATTACAGTGTACACATATATGGCAAAAATTCAATGCCAATTTTGACATACAACATATACAGACATAGACAGAGGCTATTTAACTTTTTCTGGCCACCAGGGGAGCTGTCGCTTTCATCGTCCATCTGTGACACTGATGAAGTACTTCCGCATTCCCCGCATGCTTTTTGCTGGAGTGCTTGCTGGAGTCTTTTTTTTAGGCCTCATAAATTAGTTAATTTAGCCTCCCCACACCTTAAGGTGGTACCTAATTTTCCTACTTGACAGATGCAACTGTCTTTCGGGTTGCAAAGGTCAACAACAGGCTACACAATTGGTTGGAAACCTACTCCAACCTGGGCTGGCTTCGAACTCATTAACTTTTGGTCAGAGTGATCTTAATGCAGCTGACACTCAGCAGGCTGCGCCACAATCCTGGTGCAGCTTAGTCCAATCCAAGGTGTCTCCTCCTTCTCCTTCACTCATTGATCCATCATCCCCACAGAATCCCTCAAACGACTCCTCATCTGTAGGCGCTGTAAATATGTCCCGGATCCTCTTTCTCTGCTGCTCCTCATCAGATTCCTGCTCCCGAGTAACCCTTTTTCCCCTTCTGGCACACATACTACTGTTTGTAACATTACTCACAGGCTCTACTACAACATAAATATTTCTTAACCAATTGAAACATAAAATTGTATAGACACAGACAATATTAAGTCCCTTCCCTCTCTTGTGTGTGCGTGTGTTTTAAGAAAAAGAGTTAATCATGATTTGTTTGGTTTTTTGGTTTTTGACAACAGTAATGTCTATGTCTAGATAACAAATAATCTACCTAAAATTCATTAGAAGATGTTAAGGATACAGCCCAGAAAGGAAAAAGAATACACTCACATGACATAAAAATAAATTAGGAATGCTGCAGTTATACAATAGCTGAATTCAAACCTACTCATGCCTAGAATACACCATTTGAAATCAATACAATTTAAGTATGCCATGACTAAATGAAGCTTCGTTGATTTCAGTATGACTATTCTAAGCATGACTAAGTTTAGATCAACCCATGCAAGAAAAGAGCTTCAGTTACTTAGGACTAGTTTGATACAACATTTACCTAGGATTAGTATCATACGTCAGTTTCATACAACATTTCAAATATATTCCATTATAACAATGAGGATATGAGTAATATGAAATTAAAAGATATCTCATATAGCTTTCACAGTTTTCATAACATTTCTTTCTAAACTATTCCAAACACATTAATACATAGCTACACATAAAAATTCTGAAGAGTAATCTATTGATTCCTTGAAAACATTCTGCTACACTTTTGTTTTCTTGTTTGGGGAGTCAGGAAATTAATCCAGGTAATCAGTCCATATGTAAACATTTCCAGCATTTGTTTCCTCATGTTGTTCACAAACCTCTTTAATCACCTCCTCCTTCTTCCTCCTCCTCTTCTTTATAATCTGTATACTTGAACAACAGTGCAATGGAAATTCAGAAGAAGTAATCCACTAGCACTCAGTGGTCAAAGTGCCTAAACATGAGTGATAAAAAAGTGGTTATAATTCTATTAATGAGCTATGATGGTATAGGTTTGACCACGTTTTGGTACAATGTCCATAACTGCTCCCAAACCTATCTGTTATTTGCTACCCTCAAATATGATGGATTTGGAGGAAAGGAGCAGCGTAGAAAAATTCCGATATTTTCATACAGTTGGGTACATATCAGTGATGACATGATCATCAAAAACCTTTATTGGGTCTTCCAGAGGTCCTTGAAGATATTACTATATATCCAGCTATAGAAAAATAGGTGAATAC